GACTGGGTAGCATGGCTGCCACCCGCCTCTGCCAGCCCACGCGCACATCTAACCGAAGGTTCGCCTCTCCGCGCAATCTCGCCCGCCGCGCAACTTCCCAATTTACTCGCTGTAACTGAAATAGGAAACCCTGCTCCATCCAAGCAAGCAGCCACCCTGTCCGCGCCAAGCTTCTGGCGTCCCCAGATGATTGCGCGAAGGTTCTCAATGCTGCGGCCCTCTCGTGAACGCACAAGTCACCTGCTGCCTCGAATCGGACGACTCTGGCTTTGGCCGCCAGGGCGGCGGAAGCGACGTCTTTTAGCTCGTCCGGGAATCCCAGCTCCTTGAACTCTTCGAGGCAAGCGGGCGACATCCAAGCTCTAGGGCCACGGAAAAGTGATCTGCAAGCTGCTTCTTCGCTCTCGCCGAAATCACCGGGCAATTCCTCGAGTTGGCCAACGAACAGGAGGACCGATGCCACGTAGATCCGGTACGCGCGAAGAGTCGTCAGCGCGCCAGCACCGATGGACCCCCAGAATCGCGCCCGGGCAAAGTATTTCTCCATGGGTGCCCTCCAGGATAATTACCCTCGCCCTGGCCCGACGTACAGCCCCAAGTACTTGGCCGACGAGGCGACGAGGACGCCGCCCCACCCTGGCGCCCTTGTGCGCAGAGCGTCCCGGACTGCTTCGTCCGCCCCCGGGTCCAAGGGCACCAACACTGTCTTCGGGATGTTTAAGTGCAGCCCGCTCACCAGCGCAAAATCGTCGAAGAACGTGAGCAGCGCCGCCAAGTGGGCGGCCCCGTCAGGTAAAACCATTGCCAAGTCATCCGCCCACGCACGGGAGCGCGCTCGAGGAAAACGACGTGCCAATCTGCGCAGCACGAGGTCAGAGGCAGCCGCAAACAGAAGCGGTGACAGCGGGCACCCCTGTCGGATCCCCCTCGCGATCCCGAATCCAGCCTGTCTTGTGCCTCCGAGCGATATCAGGCAGAAGTTGTTGCGATATAAGCACTTAATGAAACTTCGCAACCATTGCGGCCATCCCAAGCTCTGGAAGAACTCATGCAACAGAGCGTGTTCGATGGACGGGAACGCCGCCGCAAAGTCGAAGAACACGGCGTACGCTCCCTCGGCTCGCGCGGCCTCGCGGAGCATCGCCTCGTCGACGTCGATCAAATTTGCAAGCATTGATCTCCCAGTGATGAAGCCTCTTTGATCCTCCGCGATGAGCGGCCCGAGCACCGGCTCCAGAACCAGCCGGCCCGCGCTTGCGAGTAGCCGGTTGTCTGCGTTGGTGACGTTGAGAGGGCGCACTCCGGAAGGCTCAAATACCTCGGTCCCGTCTGCTGTCTGGTCCACGGCTTTCTTTGGAAGGAATATCAGCAAGCTTTCATTGAAGTAGGGGTAGTCCCGGAGCATGATGTCCTCGCCCTCCTCGCTGGACAACTCGACGAAAGCATCGTACAACGTGTCGCACGCCAGGTTGCCAAGCCGACGCCACGCCGCATATGGGATACCGTCGGGCCCCGGAGAAGAGTCACTGGAGAGCTTGATAGCTTCCCTGATGTGACTCTTACGGAGCCGAAGGCTTCTCAGGGCATCGTGCGAGGGGCCGCGGGCCTCCCTGTCTGCAGCATCCTCCCGGAGCCACTCCTGCAGGCGGTCGTCGTGGGCCCCCCGCGCCCGGAAGACGTCCTCCCAGTGCACGCGCAGCGCCTCCGCCATGTCACCTGCGTTCGTCAGGTGGGCGCCGTCGCGCCCACGGATGGCCTTGACCGCACTGCCCCGCCCCGGCGCCAGGCGTAACAGTAGCCTAGCATACTTCTGCTTGGCCTGCGCGGCCCGAGTCGGGTCGCCCGTCTTTGCCGCCTCGCTAGCCCGCCCAAGTTCGTCCAAAGCGTGGTCCCTGGCGAGCTCCACCGCGTGCTCGCGGACTCCACGGAGCCGGGTTGTAGCATTGCCACCAATATCGTAAGGATTATCAACCAAATCGCACAGCTCGGATACCACTCGAGACATCTGGATATCTCCCCAAGCGAACCCTGCTCCGACGCCCGCAGGAATTTCATGGTGATGCCCAGGCGGTCTTCCAGTGTCGTGACGGCCTCCAGCTTGGCGCCGTGCTTGAAGATGCCCTCCGCGACCTCCTTCATGGCGGACTTGAGCAGCAAGAGACGCCGCAATCTAGACGCCATTGGCTCGTCCCGCCGTTTGACGCCGTATGCCAGAGCGGTCCGACGAGCAAAGTCGGGGTGCTCAATCACTTCTTTCGGCAAACCGCGATCCCGAGGCAACAGTCGTTGAGGAGAGCGCCGCGAGAGAAACACTGCCCTGTGACTCGAAAGATTGGGCTTCCATTCCAAAGGCGCCGCTCGAATCTCGCGGTCCAGCTGTTCGGCGACGTGTTGATTGCAGTATAATCTGTCCAGCCGTGAGCGTGCGCTGCCCGAGGCATGCGTCATCTCCGCCTGATACATTTCATTCAAACGGAACGGTTGGCTGATGGTGTCCCGGAAGTGGGCCTCCTCCCGCTGGTCCCTGTAGCCAGATGCGACGCATGTTGAAAGTGCTCGCCTGTCGGTGCCCTTCGTAACCCAATTAAAATCACCTCCCATCACAGTCCGTGCAATGTCTGGCCGGGCGATGGCTTGCCCTACCCGGTCACGCATGTGCCTCCGCAGGGCTGGGAAAGAAGTGCACGAAGCCCGACACGAAGGATACACGCCGTGCAAGTCCAACTCCGAAAGTTCTGAACCCGTGTGGAAATACAAAACTATGATGTCCAATGCACCCTCCCGCCCACGCAGAGAGAGCTTGCCGGCTCGGCCGGGCCATATGACGGTCCAGTGCGGGGGCTGGTCGAACTTCTCCAGAAAGGTGTTTTTGGCGATGACGCCAATGCCAGCGTGCCCTGTCGTGGGCCCGGCCGACCACCAAGCAGAGCAACCCATAGGCGGGCGCCACACTTGATGACCTCCAGCTGTGGCATGAGGACGAGGAGGGGGAGAAGGAACGAGGACCGCGAAGCGCGAATAACTTCGCACCCTCGTGGGAGCCCTTGGAACTCTCGCCTCATGTGCGGGCCCATGGGGCCTTGTCATGCAGGGGGACGCTTCGCGCAGCGAGCAAGGACTCACGGGGAGGGTCACTTGGGACAGGGGGTGCGCTGCAGCATCGCCGATATAGTTGGATCCTGAGCTTGATCCAGTCCCTCCTCTTTCCTCCTCCACCCTCCTTCCCTCCTTCCCTCCTCCTTCTCCTCCTCCTCCTCCTACTCCTCCTCCTCCTCCTCCTCCTCCTCCTCCTCCTCCTCCTCCTCCTCCTCCTCCTCCTCCTCCTCCCCCTCCTCCTCCTCCTCCTCCCTCCTCCTCCTCCTCCTCCTCCTCCTCCTCCTCCTCCTTCTCCCTCCTCCGCTCCTTCTCCTCCTCCCTCCTCTCCTTCTCCTCCCTCTCCTCCTCCTCCCCTCCTCCCTCCTCCTCCTCCTCCTCCTCTTCTCCTCCTCCTCCTCCTCCTCCCCCTCCTCCTCCTCCTCCTCCCACCTCCTCCTCCTCCCTCCTCCCTCCTCTCTTCCTCCTCCTCCTCCTCCTCCTCCTCCTCCTCGTCCTCCTCCTGCTGCTGCTCCTCCTCCTCCTCCCTACTTCCCGGCGTCTCCACCCCCCCTTCCCGCCTTCTCTTCCCCCCCCCCGCCCCCTCCCTGCGCAACGCCCGCTGCCTCCTCCCCTGGGGCGCCGCCGCCCCGGGCTTCCGCGGAGGGGGGGTCGGCGGCGCCGAGCGGCGGTGCCGTACAGCAGGAGCTCGACCACAAAAACCTTCTGAGTATCGTTTAACCGATCCCCATCCCCAGCGGCGTGTTCAAGGCCCCACTGGCTGATTTACCCCACTAGATGGGGATATAGGCCGATCCCTTCGGGCTTCGAGGGGTGTACCTCCCCAACTGGGGTGGTGATTTGGTGGGGGCCTCGAAGGGGATGGGGATGGGGGGGATGGGTATGGGTGTCGGTTGCACGATACTGACCTTCCACAGGAAACAACAAGCCAACCCTGAGACCCGAGAAGGCCCATTCACTTTTGGTGTGGGAGCTTCGCGCTCTCCATCGCAGAAGCACCGACCCCCCCCCCAAACAAAAAAACCAAGCAGGGTGGCTCCTGGCCCGGGTCGCGCTGCACCCGCGCCCGGAGAGCGGAGGTCGCGGCTGCCTCACCACGGGGCCCCCGGGGGGGGGCAAACCCCGAAGCCGCAGCGCCCGGCCCTTGCCCCCGCAGGGTTCCGCGCTCCCTCCCATGGCGGGGGCGCCATGCGATCGGCTCCCCGCGGGGGGGGGGGGGTGGCAGTGGCGAGGATGGCGGCCAACGTGTAAACAGAGAGCCACGCCGCCGTGCTCTCGTCGCGACGCGCCACGAGGGGGTCTCGACTGTCGCCGTCGTCGTCGTCGTCGTCGTCGTCGTCGTCGTCGTCGTCGTCGTCGCACTTTGCGCCCCATCCCGACATCCGACGACACGACCTCTCCCTCCGCGTCCCCGGCGGCCTCCACCCTTTGACCCACGGAGCAACTGCTTTCGCCCTGGATCCATTTTTCCGATGGCCCCTGGGCCGGAGAACGGGCCCCCGGTGGCCAGAGCGTCGAGGGAGGAAGGACGCCGCAAGCGTAAACTTCTGGCGCTCCGCGCATATTTTGTGGATCTGCGAAGGACCCCCTCCCTGGCGCGCGGAGCGCGCCAGGGGCGGCGCTGGAGACGCTACCGAGGGGGCCAGCGTGGAGTCAAGAAATCCGCGCGGAGCGCCACAAGTTCATATTATGTCATACTCTTTCGGGAGCTACAAAGAAGAGCGCCACGACTGCAGACAAAAACACCACCATCGCCGGAGCTCTGCGCGGTCGTCGTCGTCGACGTCGTCGATGTCGTCGACGTCGTCGTCGTCGTCGCTGGAGGTCGGCGCGGTCGTCGTCGATGTCGTCGATGTCGTCGATGTCGTCGTGGTCGTCGTCGCCGTCGTCGTCGTCGTCGTCGTCGCCGCTGCGCGGTCGTCGTCGTCGCCGCGGGCCTCCAGGCGTGCCGCCCTGGGCTCGCGCGAGGAGGGCGACTCGGAGGCGCGAGCGCCGCCAGCCGCCGCGCCTGCGCGTCCCCGCCGTGGCCCTTTCGCTCGCTCTCTCTCTCTCTCTCTCGCTCTTCGTCTCTCTCTCTCTCTCTCTCTCTCTATCACTCACTCTCTCTCGCTCTCTCACTCTCTCTCTCTCTCTCTACATATGTGTTTCTCACGTCCTCTCTCTCATACTCTCTCTCTCTCTCTTTCCCTCCCTGTCTCCCTCTCATCACCTCTCTCACTCATTATCCCTCTCTCTCCCTCTCTCGCTGTCTCTCTCTCTCTCTCTCTCTCCCTCTCTCTCTCTATATGAATATGTATTTCTCAGTCCGTTATCCCCCTATGTCTTCTCTATCACTCTCTCTCTCTCTCTTTCTCTCTCCTCTCTCTCTTTGTCTCTTCTGTATGTCTCTTTCTCTCATTCTCTCGCTCTCTCACACTGTCGTTCTCTCACTCGGTCTCGGGTGTGGGGGTGGGGCAAAGGGAGAAAGCGTCCCAAACCAGCACGCCAGCGGCAGCACAGCCCTCGACGGGGACAGCCTGCAGCGGCCACTAGTGCAACACCAATACCGCACCAAGACCACGCACCTTCACTAGGGTGCCAAGGGGGCCTCTCCCTCGCCATGTCCCTGCCTCTCTACCTCTTTACCTCCTCTTTCTCTATGTCTATATGTGCTTGGATCAATTCATATACGTGTGTATTATCGCATTCTCGCATTCGCACTCTCATCAGGACATGTTCCTTGCCTCTTTGGGCCAGAGCGTGGAGGTCGTAACCTCTCCATGCATACACGTGCTGGAGACAACAAAGGCCAGACAACACTAGCGAACTTCCCTGCTGGAGTTGGTTCCTGCGCCTGTGTCGGTTGGCGTTGGGTTGGCAGGTGTCTTGGTCGTCTTGTTCGGGTGCTGGGCTCCCGTCGATGAGATGAAGTCGGACTCCATGCTCATCCAAATGGTTGTGTCGGACGCTACGTGGGTCCACGAAATATCGTGGATGGCGTCACTCAAACCGTCGTTCGCGCGCGTGGTCGCAATCCGCTGTCGGATGCAGTCGCGCATTTCGTCCTCTTACCGTTTCGGTTGTCGACCTTCGTGGCGCTGTCCTCGTTGTCCCGCAACGAGACCAGGGTGCCAGCGAGCCACTTGTTGAGTCCATCGGGTGGCGCTCTCGCCATCGCTCGGACGTCCATTCCCTGTGTTTTTTCGGTTCCGTGTGTGTTTTTTCGTAAAAAGATCAAGGATGCTCCTCGATGGTCCTCGCCGAAGGAAAAATGCACATGTCCGAGCGATACCAAGGTAACGAGACCAGGGTGCCAATGAGCAACTTGTTGAGTCCATCGGGTGGCGCCGTGACGGGCCATTGCGTGGGCCAGCCTCCACAGACCTCGTCGCTGTTTTGTGACTCGTGGCCCCATGTCGTGCAGGTCCATCAAATGATTCGCTCTGTTCGGGTGTTGCTAGAAGTGCCCCTGGCCCAAGGTGCCCCCAGCTTTTCGCTCCATGTTCGAGTCCCTGGTGCCCTCTGGGCCTCGTGAGGGTGCTGTGGAGGCCGCCTGGGCCCCCCCGAGAATCCTGGGGGCACCTTGGGCCAGGGGCACTTCTAGCAACACCCGATCTGTGTGTTGCGCGGTGGATGAAGTCGAGCCATGGCTCACTAAAGTCGTCACCGATCAGGTTGGTCAGATCGACCGCTTTGGGGAGCTCGGGTTCGTCGGGATTGTTGTCGGCGTCATCGTCAGAGGACGTGGTGGTAGATGAACTGGTGGCTGACGAAGTAGGAGCCGCAGATACGGCGGAAGTGCTGTCCGAGGAATGGTTTGGCGAAGTGGATGTGCTCGTCGTGGTGGCTCTTCTGGCGTCGTGGCGTGTTGATGATCATTATGTTTACTCTTCGTTCGGTGGTGTTGAACTGTCGTTTCACAGACTCCGTGAGTGTCCACGTGCCCCCTTCGGTGCAATGCCGTCATATACGTATGTAAGTATGCACAAATATACGTGTACGTTTGTCCGTGCCGCTCCCTCTCTCTCTCTCTCGCTCTCATTGTTTTGTTGATTTCTCGCTCTCTCTCTCCCTCTTTCGTTCTATCTCTTTCTCTCTCTCTCTCTCTCGTTTTCTCTACCTACTAGAACCACGCGCGCTGTTCGCGCGCGCATCGCCTCTGCACACAGGGTAAGACATGGTCATGGCACACTGAGCACATGTCGCGATGCACTTTGGGGGTGGTACCCGTTTGCGCTGGGTTTGGGTCAGTTCGTGACCGTCTCTTGACTCCCTCGCCACTCCTCGCGACTTTTTTCCGCACTCCTTGTTTCTCTAGTTTTTCCTCGTGGTTTCTCCCGAGTCACGCTCCATGTCTGACCTCCCCCGTCACCCCTCTTTCCTCCCCCCTATTTCCATATGCGTCGCTCTCCTTTCCTCCCCTGTTTGCTCCTCTCTCTTCGATTGCCCCTGTTCCTTCATCATTATGTTTTTCCCTCCTCGCTTCCTGGCTCCTCTCTCGTCCTAGTCCTCCTTACCTGAGCATTTTCTCAGGGAGGAAGGAAGGCTCAGGGAGAACTGCATATGGGTTTTCGCCCTTCGGAAATCAGTCCATCTTGTGGTTGGGTGGCTTTCAGGGTGAAGTTCGTGTTGACTAGCGGCCTGTGTAGATGCAACGCCTGGCTTCTGCGACGACGTCACTATTGCGCCCGCACGTGATTAGGCACCGCTGATGGCTCGGACCTGGCGATATTTCAAACAATGCTTTGCCGCCCCGCCGATGTCACCGATGGGTTGTCATTGCCTCGACGAATCCACGATCAGCGCATCTGCGGATCACAAGAGGGCGCGAATCCTCGTGACAGTGAATTGATTGGTTCTCCATCTGTTGCCTGCGTCCCGTCCCTGATTGGCCGGACGGTTCACTGTTGCTTGGTTGGCTCGCTGGTTGGTTGGCTGGTGGATTGAATATAGGGCTGGATGGTTGAATGGCTGGCTGGCTGGGTGGCTGGCTGGTTCTCTGGGCCCCCGAGCACGCGACTGGCGCCAGACAGGAAAACGGGCGCGCGACTGGCGCGCGGCAGGTGTACGAGTACGCGACTGGCACCCTAGACTCGTTTTCTGCGTATCGGCTTGTTTTTGGCCGTTCTCGAACTTGTTGTATCTTGCGCTTTATAAGATGCATAGTTCTGGAAGTTGGTGCTGCGTTCTAGCAATATTCCTGCTGTTCTAGAATTCGCTTTGCGGTTCTAGAATGTCGTTCTACGTTCTAGGATTCGTTTTGCTTATCTAGAACCACCCCTGGCCGTTTAGCAGGAAAGCGTGGGACAAAACTGCGGGGGTCGGGATTCGAGGCCCATCGCTGGGCGGCGGGGGTGGCCCCTCGTGCAGCCCCGAGCAGGCTTCGGAGCCACCGTGCTCCAGCTTGGCGACATGGGAGAACAGGGGCCTGGATTGAGAGAGGGCGGCTCCAATTAAGGTGCTGGCGACGGCGAGGTCGTGGTCAAGGAGCGAGTGCATGTGGATCCCAGAAAAGTGATGCGTCACCCGCCCGCTGCCATTAGCGATCAGCGCGGGCGGGCGGATGATGATACAGATGATGATGCTGATGCTGATGATGATGCTGATGCTGATGATGATGCTGATGATGATGCTGATGATGATGATGATGATGGTGCTGATGATGATGATGCTGATGATGATGATGCTGATGATGATGATGCTGATGGTGATGATGGTGATGATGATGGGGGGGAGGAGGGACGGGGGGGAGGAGGGACGGGGGGGAGAGGGAGGCAGAGGGGGGAAAGCATCAGCCTTGGAGGAGGAGGAGGAGGTGCAGGCGGAGGCGGAGGCACTGATAGGGGGTGGAGGCGGCAGCAGGGGGTGCAGGAGGCGGAACAAGGAAACGACGGGAGGGGGAGGGGGAGGGAAACGGACGGGTGGCGACGTGCTGGGCGAAGCGGAATTTCAGACTTCACCCTTTGCACTCCACCCCAACAGATGCCCGGCTTGCCCCTCCCAGCTGCCTCTTCGCACCTCCCTCCTCGCTTCGGAACGCCTGCTCGTTCACTCCTCGTTTCCTTCTCTTCCTGGTCTCCCAACGCCTCCTCCTCGTCGTCCTCCCAAGGGTATGGGCAGGGGGAGGCGGAGGACGCGTGGGGACAGGATATGGAGGATATGGAGAAGAAGGAGGGAGAGGAAGAGAAGAACGGCGAGGGGGGAAGGGGGAGGATAAGGATGACGAGGAGGATGAGGATGAACATAATGAGGAAGAGGAGGGTGGATGGAAAATAGGAAGAGAAAGAGAAGGAGCAAGGAGGAGTGAAAGGAGAGGAGGTGGCGGCAGGATTACGAGGAGGCAGGAGGGAGGGGAGGAGCGAAGGAGGAAGAGGATGCAGGAAGATCGAAGAGCTAAGGCAGAGCGTGGAAGATCGAAGGCACCGGCCGTACACTTTCGGCTGGGCAACCTGCTGCGACCCAGTGGCGAGCATGTGAAGTGCACGAATGCACAGCTCGCTCTATAAAACAACGCGCCCAGCGGAGACGCGCGCGCGCGCTGTCGCCGCGCTGTGCTCGCGGGCGGTGCGCACGACGGCTCGCAAACGCTACCGTGTGGACGAAACTCGCAAGCAAACTCGAGACGCGCTGCCTAAGCAAGCGCACCTGCACTGCACTTCACGTCTGAGCTTGAGTCCCAGAGGCGGTCCGCCGAAACTCACGCATCGCGGACGTACGCCCAGGTTGCTCAGACTGACGGCAGGAGCGTCGCAGAGGCAAGCCCCGTCTGCTCCTCGGCGCCCGCCAGGTCCAGCCGCCACGCCAGCCATGGGCTCGTGGCGTCCGCCGCGCTCTGGCGAGGATGTGGAGGAGCGGCATCAGCACACGGGGGGCAAGCGAGAGCGCGTCACCAGTGCTCCTTCGACTGGTGGCCTGCCGCGGGCCGGGGGGCGTGCACGCGCCGCCCCGCTTCCGCAGGGAGGGCGCAGCCGCCCCGCCCTCGAGCCGAAGCTGGCGCTGCCCTGCGCCGGATCCAGGGCGGAGGTGTTT